AAGTTTCACTCACGTTGTAATGTCTCTTCCGGAAAGCGCGTGTAGAACGACACCACTGTTCTGACCAAAGTCAGAAATGGCTGAGTCCACTGTTCAATCTCGGGGTGTGCTTGCGTCACAGTAAAGGGAGGGGGGATACCAGTCTGCCGACAGACGTTGTCGTGTGCGGTCTGATACCGGCGCATCATATCAGGCGAAGAATGGAGACATCGAAGACAAGACTCACCTCCAGCATCTGTACGATCTTGCGCAGAGGCGATAGGTCACCTGTTCCGAGCATAACACAGAGGGGAACTTACATATGGCCGTGCCTTCGGGTAATACGCCCTGTCGACACTTAACCACACAGCTAACTTCTCGGCCGTCGTTGAGAACTCGTTGAGGGTGCTGCTCGCGAGATGCTTGATGAAGAGTGGGAACAGGGTCTCATTGTTTTTCTCGGCCTTCTTGGCTCGCGAGGGGACGTGTGCCATGATGAGGGGGTGCCATGCAGGACGTGGATTTGGCTGAACGCGTCGAGCGGCGAGCGCAAGGGTCGCGACGACGTCGGCGCCGACGAAGGCGGCCCTTCCGTGTATGGCAACTCCATCTAATCTGTGCTGACCAAGCGCATCTTATCTGATAATTCGGTGACGCGTCACGTCCGATTCCCTTGCTCAGCACCGACTCGGGATTTGCTCATCGTCCTCCTCGTCCTTCCCTCCGCTCCCTCTCCTCCTCTCCCAGTACTGTCGCCAACCAGCGATCACCGTTGCATTGGGTAGCCTCAGACGGCCTTTTGCGGTGGATGAACTTCCTCGGAAGCCTACGAGCAGCAGCTGGGTCGTCCGCACGGATATGCAGTCGTGACCCAGGTCCTTCGAGGCTCGCGCTGTCGGGCGTTGCGGGGCCGTCCAGACTAGCGTACCATGCAGCGGGCAGGGCAATGGTGTCGCGACGTACGTTCTACTCCTCGACCGTTGCGGATTACACGCCGACAGCTGCCATACGTCTCCCGCGTTGGGTCAACGCGAGACTCGGCAGCGCGCGCGACCAGGAATCGGACGACGCGCAGTCCCCGACGGACCAGTCTCAGTCTGGCGCACGGTTAGATGGACCAGAAGATGGTCAGTCTACACCCCCGGCTTCAGCTCCGCCATCCACGCCTCCCTCGTCTTCCTCCTCGTCCTCGGGTGACGGGTCCGATAGCTCGGATGCACCTCCACCTCCTCCACCCCCACCCGATTCTCCCTCGCAACCGCAGACGTCAATATCTAAACAGTCTGTACCGGAATCGTATCCCCAGGTCCTTGCTCTGCCTATCGCCCGTCGGCCTCTCTTCCCTGGTTTCTACAAGGCTGTTGTCGTCCGGAATCCCGCTGTCGTTGCCGCAATCAAGGAGATGATGCGCCGAGGTCAACCATACCTCGGTGCGTTCCTTCTGAAGGACGAGAACGCGGACAGTGACATCATCACGGACATCAACTCGGTACACCCTGTCGGAGTCTTCGCGCAGATCACGAGCGTGTTCACGGCACAAGGTAGCAAGGAGGGAGAGGAGGAGGGGCTCACTGCCGTCCTCTATCCCCATCGCCGCATTCGTCTCACGGAGCTTATCAAGGGCGGTACAACTGCGTCGGTTCAGCCTGTTGAAGGTGTCGAGGCGGACGCGTCTGCTGCAGAAGCAGAAGGCCAGCTTCCGACTCCTCCTCCCGAACGCGAAGGCGCCCCCATGAACATGCAGACCTCGTTCCTCGAGAAATTTCCGGTATCGGTTGTCAACGTCGAAAACCTGGTGACGCAGTCGTACAACAAGGACGACCAGTACATTCGCGCGTTCATGTCGGAGATCGTCTCTGTCTTCAAGGATATCGCTCAGCTCAACCCTCTCTTCCGAGACCAGATCGCCAACTTTTCCATGAACCAGGTCGCTACCAATGTGTTCGATGAACCGGACAAGCTTGCGGACTTCGCGGCGGCCGTCTCGACCGGTGAACCGAACGAACTGCAGGACGTCCTCGAGAGTCTGGTAGTCAGCGACCGTCTGCGCAAGGCCCTGCTTGTCCTGAAGAAGGAGCTCATCAATGCGCAACTCCAGAGCAAGTTGGCACGCGACGTCGACAGCAAAATTGCGAAGCGTCAACGGGAGTACTACCTCATGGAACAGCTCAAGGGTATCAAGAAGGAGCTCGGCATGGAGTCTGACGGGAAGGACAAATTGATCGAGAAGTTCAAAGAGCGTGCTGCCGCGCTCAAGATGCCCGAGGCTGTGCGCAAGGTGTTCGACGAGGAGCTGAACAAGCTCCAGCATCTCGAGCCTGCGGCTTCCGAGGCGAACGTCACACGCAACTACTTGGAATGGCTGACTCAGGTGCGCCTGCCGCTATGTATAGGGTGCCATGTCATCTCAATTCCCTTTTCTTAGATCCCGTGGGGCCAGCACTCGCCCGAGAACTACTCCATCGCTCATGCGCAGAAGGTTCTTGACGAGGACCACTATGGTCTGAAGGATGTCAAGGACCGCATCCTGGAGTTCCTTGCAGTCGGCAAGCTGCGTGGGACGGTCCAGGGCAAGATCATCTGCCTCGCAGGCCCACCGGGTGTTGGCAAGACGTCCATTGGCAAATCCATCGCTCGCGCCCTGAACAGGCAGTTCTTCCGCTTCTCTGTCGGAGGTCTGACCGACGTTGCGGAGATCAAGGGTCATCGTCGCACTTACGTTGGGTACGTTTTCGTTCATGTATCGATCACAAGAAACACGACTAATGAGCGGTTGTTGCAGTGCTCTCCCTGGCAAGATTATTCAGGCGTTGAAGCGCGTCGGTACTGAGAACCCACTTGTCCTCATCGACGAGGTTGACAAGATTGGCCGCGGACACAATGGCGATCCCGCCAGTGCTCTACTCGAGATGCTTGACCCCGAACAGAACACGGCCTTCCTCGACCACTACATGGACGTTCCCGTTGATTTGTCTCGTGTACTCTTCGTCTGCACAGGTGAGTCGCTATTTATGCAGCTTATGCACACATGGCATTTACACGAACTTCAGCGAACATGCTCGACACTATACCCGCACCCCTGCTTGACCGGATGGAGGTACTTGAGGTCAGCGGTTACGTCTCGGAGGAGAAGGCCCAGATTGCGTCGAGGTACCTTGGCCCGCAGGCGAAGGAGGCGTCGGGGCTCAAGGAAGCTGATGTGCAACTCGATCCTGCTGCTGTCGACGTGCTCATCAAGTACTACTGCCGCGAGAGCGGAGTGCGCAACCTTAAGAAGCACATCGACAAGGTATGTCTTTCAACTTCCGCTGTGCGTCAACATCTGCTCACATTGACTCGTCATTTAGATCTACCGGAAGGCCGCCCTCAAGATTGTCCAGGAGCTTGGCGAGGAGGTTTTCCCTGAGCCGACTCCTGCCCCCGCTCCTGAAGAGGCGGCGGCAGCGGCGGCGGATACGACCAAGGATGATGGCGATTCGGCCGAGGCGACGCGTACTGTGGAGAAGCAAGATGCACCTCCAGAGACCCCCGCTGCACCCGAGACTTCCACGCCCCACTCGGACGCTAAGGAAGACCCGGATCGCGTCGTGACCACGATTGAGCGCAAGCCCATGAAGGTTCCGGACACCGTGCACGTCACTATTACACCGGAGAACTTGAAGGACTACGTCGGTCCTCCCATTTATCAGAAGGACAGGCTCTACGTACAAGCTCCACCTGCAGGTGTGAGTACCGGACTTGGCTATCTCGGCAATGGTTCCGGAGCCGTCATGCCGATCGAGGCATTGGTGAGTAAACATCGCTTCTCGACGTCCGGTGCATCGTCCTCATACAGTGTCTGTAGTCAACCCCCGGCAAGGGCGGTCTCCAACTTACCGGCAAGCTCGGCGAAGTCATCAGGGAAAGTGCACAGATTGCGCTCTCCTGGGTGAAGAGCCATGCGTACGAGCTCGGCATCACCAAGACACCAGATGAGGTGTTCCTGGCGGACAAGGACATCCACGTCCACATGCCGGAAGGTAGCATCGGGAAGGAGGGCCCGAGTGCTGGCACTGCAATCCTGTCTGCGTTCGTCTCGCTGTTCACGAAGACGAAGATCAGCCCTGACATCGGTACGTCGCCCACATCACTCTACATGGCTGTGCCAGTGCTGATGCTCTTTGTTCACTAGCCATGACTGGTGAGATCTCGCTCGTGGGCATGGTCCTGCCCGTTGGCGGTTTGAAGGAGAAGATTCTCGCCGCTCACCGCGCTGGTATCAAGACCATCATCGCCCCTGCGGGTAACCGTCAGGACATCGAGGCGAATGTACCAGACAGCGTGAAGACGGGGATTCGCTTCGTCTACGTCGAGGACGTCAAGGAGGTCCTCCACGAGGTCTTCCGCAATGAAGCCGTCGCGGAGCGCTGGAAAGACACCCTCGCCCCGTGACGCGTGAACGCTTCACCTCCTTGCGAGTCCCAATGCCTGCCGCGCATTCCCTCGTCAAAGGAAGCGCCTTCAGGTCAAAGACGACTCTTCTGCGAGTGAGCTCGTCGGGCAGGTGGCGTCGGGCACCGATGTAACTCGACGGAGAATCTATACGTACGTCATCTTAATAGCCATCATCATCCCGGCTTAGAGCAGTTTCGTCGGTACACTCTACACGCTCACATTCGCCACCTGTATAATATCACGCCGCATGCTTTGAACCCAGCTCACGTTGTATTACTCTGATATGCCGTTGTCGTGTGTGTGCTCGCTCTGTGTTACTCGGACTGTAGACTCGCCAGCCAGTCCGGTCGCAAGCCCTTGATCGCGCTTTCCAAACCGGGGCGGTAACCCTCAACTTGACGTCGTTACCGAAACGCCTACTCTTGTCTCCCGTAGGCAGACGATTGGGCGGGCCTATTGAAGTAAGCCTACTCGGACTGGACGCGCCGCTGAGCTCGTCCAGCAGAGAGTGGTACGAAATGGCGAGATCTTGGGCAAGTCTTGGGTACATGCCAACAAGTTCGCAACGCAAAAAAATTGTATCCAGCTACCACCGACGGGGATCGAACCCGCAACCCCCACCTCACCTCCACAGTAAGGTCCAAGACCAACGTAGGAAGGTGATGCGCTACCATTGCGCCACGATGGCTCGACTGTTAAGACTGCCTGCAGCTTATATATATGGAGTCAGATTTTCCCGGTAGACTCTAACCACTTCAAGTTGAAGCTTAGAATACCTCGACGTCTACTTATACTGAGTACTAGTGATAGGTATACTCGGCCCAGCTCCTCGTGTCACACTAACCTCTACACTCGTAAGGTGCCCGTTCCCCCCGACGTCAAGCGGTTCAATTTCCAGACCCTACACGAGGGACTCAACTTTCATCCCAGTTGCCCATGGCCAATGTCCCCCATCGTCAGATCCTTCAGTCGGTCAAGAAGGAAGCGGTCGAATGTGAAGTACCTAGGCTTGTCAGAGTCGACCATCCCTTTCGCAACAAGCCGTTGCTACAGATATTTGTGCGCCGCTGCCCCCTCCCAGGTGGCAGTCTGAGCGAACACCCGTGCATTCCGCGTACAGCTATCCTGGACGCATGTGAGGTGCTTACTCGCAAAAAAGGAAAACTCGCATCAGACAGGGAAGGACGGGAGCTTGTCCTTTCCGACCTTATCAACGGAGCAGGACGCTACTACTACATCGTCGAGGACGACTATCAGATCGACTATCCCGTCTTCCGCTCCATCCACGAATGGGTCCCTCCGAGCCGTGAGGAAGTCCCTGACCGGTGGTTCACCAAGCTATACCCTCGCCTCAGACCATCCGCAAATGACTACAATGAGATCGTTCCCCCGTGGTTCGTATTGAACGAAGTATCATCTGAAAGTGCGATCGTTGCGGAGGTCAAGGAGATGGACAAAAGGTGTCTGCTGTCGGCACACGGAGCTCCACTCGAAGCTGCTCATGTCTTTCCTGCTGCCGACGTAACCGCTACCTGGGTGAGTGCCCAGTACCCTATGGATGTGTGGTCTGACTTTCAACATGTCCCGTAGTACAACACGCGAGACGTCACATCGCAACTCTACGAGGCCCAGCCACTCCCCCTGCGTTTGCGATCCTCTAACCTCAAGATTCACGACGTGCGCAATCTCATCACCCTGCGAACTGATATCTGCAGGCGATGGGATGAACACGCGTTCATGTTCATCCCCGTGGACGGATGCTACATTGCGTACTACATCGCGCATCTGCCCGAGGATCAGGCCCGCGAATTCCACTGCACTCAACTTAATACCCCTGATCGCGCAGACGGATACCTGTTCTACATCCGCTTCGCGCTCACCATCTTCTTCACGAACGCTAGTGGTCCAGAGGACTTCGCGGCTTATCCCGAGGCCTCTGAAGCTCTGAAGCTGCCCACGACGGGCGAGGAGAGCGAGGCGCCGAAGTCCACAGGCGGCGGGCCATCGGAGTCTGGGCAAGGCGGGGGACCCGTGGGGGACCACCGCACCGTCTCAGCGGATGCTCTGAAGCAGGAAAATTTGGACGAAGAACCAGTTGTACTCACGGATGAAGCTTCTCTTGCCAGGTACCTCATTGCTTGCTACGAAGGTTCGTCCAAGATTGAGGTTGTGGGACAGCTCTGACCCCGGGAGCTTCACTCAGAATCCGAGAACGAGTACCTTCCTGCAGATCTCGAGGCCTTATGGGACAAGTACATTCCCCGCTCCACCGAGCCAGACACGAAGCGATTGAGGGACGACTGGGAAGAGCAGCAGAAGCGTCTCCGTGAAAGTGGGCATTACAGTACCCCGCACTCTGCGGACTGAGTACTCTTAGTCGTGCAGTCGTTCGACGTACATATGTAAGAGTAGTATCCAAAGTAAAGATGATCCCGTTCACAGCCCTTAACATCTGCAGGGATTGCCGTAGCCAGTGTGTGCTCGTCTGACCCGCTTACCCTGCTCGCTCTCAAGCTCGTCCTCGCCCGTTCCTCGGCCGCAGATGCCGCTACGGAACAACTTGTGGGAGACAATGTGTACTTGCTCAGGACATACCATCGATGATGAATGCGAGACAGCACTGTACGGATGTACGAGTACACGATAATCTATAAGAAACGCGCAAAGATGTGTATTCAAGTGATGTATCGACTGGAGAGCAAGAGAGAGGGCGAGAATGTGCTTGACGTTGTATATGGAGGCGTGAGGTGATGTGACCGCAGGATGTGCAGCTGGCAATGGCAGGATACCATAAACATAAGGAGGCGGAGATTGAGCGCGACGGTAAGAGAACAACGTGGAGTATACGGAGATCGTACGTCGTGTGTCGTGAGCATGTGTGGCTGTTATATGTGGCGGGACGGTTGCAGTGATGGAGGGGGACGACGACAGATATGTAGGAGAGCTATGAATGCGATGAGATGCTGGAAAGAGAGCAAATACGGGTTGGAGTCAAAAACGTGTGTTCAAAGCCTGCCCGTCGCCCGAGACAAGGTCGACGCCCTCGTACGCGAGGCAGCCATTCCGTTGCTTGCCGAAGACGAGCCAGAGCTCATGCTGGACGTCCTAGTCAGACCCGGTAGCCTTGATGCTGGCTTCGGCAATGCCGTGGACCCTGGTGCACCCATACCGATGCGAGAGGAGGGCGGCTTCAGCGCCCCGACGAGCTTGGACATCGAAGTCGTCCGAGCCGTACCGGAAGGAGCTCTGACAGGGACCGTCGCGGAGGTGGCGGACCGAGGGCCACCAGTGGTGGTTCTGGAAACCACAGTGGCCACCCGTTCCCTGGCAGCCATGTTAGGCCGTTGAATGCCAGCGAATCGTGAGGAAGGAGCAGCGGTCTCGGCAGCACGGGCGGAGCGAGCGCCGGCACTGATACCAGAGCTCGATGTGGCCGACCCTGAGGTAGCAGACGAACCCGCAAGAGGCGGCAATCCGATGACCAGACCACCTGCCGCTTGCATGCCTGCCGGAGGCCGCTGCACACCGCGGATAGGCGGACGAGTGGGTTGAGCCGGAGGAACCGACACACTGACGGGCTTAGCTGTGGCGAGCGAAAGACGTCTCTTCAGGACCGGCTGCCTCTCAGCTCGTGCGGCGACGCCGCCAGTGCTCAAGCTCGCCGAATCCGCGGCGGTGCTCTGGTGATTGGACAGCTTGAATGTCTTCTTGACAATACGCAAAGCAGGAACCGGTGCCGGCATGGGTGGCGGCATGGGTTCGGACTCGAGGAGCAATGATTGGTCATCCACGACAGCGGGAGACATAGGCGGTGAAGGTGGCTCCTCGAAGTTGGGCGCAGGTACGCGAGGTGGGGTGACTGCATGACGTTCAGGTCAAAGAGGAGCAAGACGTCTTCGAAGACTGTGCTCACCATTACGAGAAGACGGGGCAGAAAACGTCGGGGACAGAGGTAGAGGGACATTCGCAGCCTTCTCTGTGATTGGAGACATGGCGGAAGACCGCTCAAAGATGGGGGAGGCCTTGGTTGGGGGGCTGAACACAGGCTTGAAGGTCTCCCGAGAGGCCATCGCAGCGGGGACGAGGGCCTCCAGCTTGGCTTTCATTGCGGGCGGCACAGATATCTCGCTGAAGTCGAGCGTGTCATCTCTGCCTGACCAGAAGGAGTCTTGACCGTTGCCGAAAAAGGAAACCTTGTCGTTCAGAAGATCGAAGGACATGTCCTCCGACTGCATTTGGAGATGAAACGAGGACTGCAGATCGACGGACGCGCGGCGGGGGTCATCGGGTGACGAATGTGTGAGCGTGGAAGAGGGTCGCAAGTGCGAATTAGCGGCCGCAGGCACATCCTTGGGCTCGTCATTCTTCAGTGTGGCGAACTTCTCCATGCTGGGCGTCTGAGGGGCGCATACATTGATTTCGGGAAATGGGGAGGATGGTCGACTGTTCACCACTTCACAGGGCTCTTCTGTGGGATAGGGACCATCTGCTGATGTAACGTCCTCGGAGATGGACATGGCAGAGAAGTTGATGGAGTTGATGACTTCCGCAAGGGGTGAGGTCGACGGCGCAGGCACCAACATCGCCGGGAGCGCCTCGGAGTCTTGGGAGGGCAGCTTGGGACTCACGAAAACGGGCGCCGTGAACCCTCGGCTGCTCAACTGTGGCCTTGGGGTGTGCTCGACGTCCAGGTCCGCCAACGGAGCCCGTGGTGGCGAGAACACGCCACAGCTCTCCGCGTCCGTCTCGGACTGTTCCCCATCGGCATCACTGCCATCGTGCTCTGTCGCATCCCAGAGCCTTGCAGGAGCAGGCGTGTCTCCGAAGTCGATCAGCTTGCCCATGGGGGTCAAAGCCTTGTGCTCAGATTGCTTGTCTGCTGCGTAGGTGCGACTGAAGAACATGGTGAGGTCTCCGGGCGGGGTGTCGTTCTCCTTGTCTGAGGGGCCGAGATCATCTGAAGAATCTCGCCGAGGTGTGGAGGGAGCTTGGTGCAGGGGATCAAACATGTAGAGAACGCTGTTCCGGGGCTTGGCCATGTTGAAGTAAGTCGTGAAGGTCGTGAGTGGTAGGCAGAGACGAGTCGAGGTGATGGTCGACGTCGTGGTTCAACGGAACAATAGCCGACCGCCAAACCGTGTTCCATATCCACATATCACGTGAGCGCGACCCAGACGCGTCTGGCGTCTATTAGTATGAGTCCAAGGTGGACATCGTGTACTTAAGTAGTCTCGGTTCCAGACGTTACTGGGCCAGTCGTGCCTATCTGTGTAACACGTCTGGAGCCGAGACTAGACATCGTATCGTTGATCTGAGCTTGTTATTTCGGATGTTGGGGAGTGCACTCGAAGGCGAACGACATGAGCAGATCGCTAATGCAAAGAATACATCCGCTATATTACATGGGTCCAGGACAAGCAGGCTCGATGAGACGACAGGCGTGAAAGAGATATGATCCAGGTACATGTACAGTAGTAGTGGTACACAAGCGTGGGCGAACAGATATCGGTTGAGAGAGGAAATGTGGATGGACACAGCATGGCGTGACTACAGATCCGGAGGCAAGGCGGGAACGAACAGAGTCCAAGATGACAGACGGATTACAGTGCGGGAAGAGGAGATCGAAAGAAGGAAAGAAAGAAGGACAACTAACAGCACGGACATGTCGTCAGGTCGCGTGAGCACGAC